GCATAATGCATATAGTTTCAATTTAAAAGCGATTAATTTATTCGTAAATAGAATATTCAGATTTTATGTCTATAAGCAAAATCATTCTTTAGCAACGTGATGGAGTACTGTTAAAACTGAATAAAAAGTTCAAAAGCATTTCTAAACGGTATAAATCCTTTTTCAGAATTTCTAAATGATCGTAAGACAGATATTTTATTTAGAATTTCTAGAAAATCGAGTTTTTGAGTTTTATCATAGATGCGATTCGTGTCGTACAGTCTATCCTCAAGGAGAAGACTATCTTTTTATTTGCATCAATATTGAATAAACATTCTTATATATAATTTATGTATGACAGATGGCGCTAGCTTACATAATCTGTCACGTGCTTTTAAAAACTTCAATTAAATATACAATATGTCATTGTTCAGTTAGGAAAATTGAAACTATTTCTACGTGGTTCAAAATATAATCAATATATTTTTTTTTACTATTTTAAAGGGCCTAAAATGAGGAATAAACTTTTATCCGGCGAGAATTCTGTTTTAAGAAAAGCTAAATGTAATGTCGTGCAGTGACATTTTTTTTTGGTTATTTTAACACCCAAGCCAACGATTCTAGAGCTCAGACCCGTAGATTTCCGGTCAATGGATTCCTGTTTACAAGTTCCTACTATTTTCCAACCGTACGTCATTCATCTCGATGTGATATGCTCATAAAAAATGAATGAAGACTATAAATAAACCGAAAATCCGCTGTATCAAACTGAAATTTTTATCAGAAGCGTGTTTTCTCACTAGAACCACTTATTTTTGAAAATTTCAACCTAAATAGTCTATTGTGAAGCAAAATCTCCTTAATATTTAATTTACTTTATTTGTTTCATCATATTCTTCATGATTATTATTATTATTATCATCATCAATTAATTTTGTTTGTTGTAATAATTTAATTAATAAATTTTCATTTAATTCTTGTTGTTTTAAATCTGTAACAATATGTTTTAAATTTGTTTGTATTTTAATTTTATTTGTTTGTTTTAATGATGAATATATACGAAATTGTGTATCCATCATCATTTGTACTAATGAACGTTTTATTAATAAACGTTCTTGTGGTGATATATAATTATTACATTTATTTAATATAAAAACAATATGTGGTGAATGTGGTTTAATTATTTCATTTGTATTACGTTTTAATATAGGTCGTAATATATCAGCTAATTGTAATAAACGATATAAATATGGATCAGAAAATTGATCTTCAACAATTAAAACAATATGACAAACAGATAATATAAATGCAATTATTTCTAATGTTTGTAATTCAAGTATATTATCAACAAACATTGCTCGTGGATCAATTTGTTGTTGCCAAAAATGTGGTGTCGATATTGTTTGTTGTTGTTGTTGTTGTGAACGAGAATAATCATTTGCTGATTGTAATATTTGTTGTTGATGTAATTGTGAACTTAATAATGGTTGTGTATCAAGTAATATTGTTTGTTCATTTGTTATATATATATCAATACCATGTGTTATTTTATGTGAATTTGATGATGCTGCTGGAAATATCATTAAACGATCTTCATCAATAAATTGATTACCACCTAATAATGAAAGTAATGTTGATTTACCAACTTTTTCTCTACCAATTGCACCAATAACAACAAAACCATCAGAATCTTGTAAATAATTATTTAATTGTCCATTTTCACACCATGTTAATGTATCATCAATTAATTTTAATGATGTTTTCATTGTCATTGATGATGAAAGTAAACGTGTATTTATTGATTGAATATGTTGTTCATGTTGTAATTGTGTTAATAATGGTGTTGAAATTGTTGATGTTGTACGTGTTAAATTTATTGGTCCATTTGATCGATGAACAATTGGAGGTGTTGATAAATTTGATGGTATATTAACTGAAGGAATTGTTGTTGTCGGTATAGATGAAGATACAGCAGGAGTTGATATTGGTGTAGATGGACTTGGTACAGGTGGTGAAACATTAACTGGTGCTTTTGCTGATGATAAAATTATAGGTACTGGTGACTGTTGTACGACCACTTGCTGGAAAAAGAAAACAAAAACAAGTATATAAATGATCTGTTATTGATAATTTTAATATTGTTACACATATTTGGAATTAAGAATATAGAAGAGCTCGTCGGATTGATTTCGGATCCGACGGATTTTAGTCGTTGGAGGAATGTATAGCCTGTGATTGTCAAGTATCTCGTATCTTCGGGATGACTATTCAATTTCGATTAGAAAATTTCAATCTATTGGATTCGGGTCTGAGAAACTTTTTTTTGTTCTACTTGTTTATGAGAATATCTTGCTAATGTTTCTCTTCTTTATGAATTTATATAATAATGTTTTTTTTTTGTTTATTCTTCGACTCTAATGCAGAGAGAGCCTATCGAGTCCAAAATTTTCGCACACGGACCCAGTTTATTAACCGTTTTTAGAACCCAGACCAACCCGATAGGTTCTAACTCCGACAGAAAATACTGACGGAAAAAAGACTTTATTAAGAAATAACGATATTACTGTAAGACCCAGATATATTTAAGATTGTGTACAAAATTTCAGACTTCTAATTCCTCTGATTTATTGTAGGCTATCGTTTCTTTTATACTAATGAGACACGTTAATTGATCATATTTTGTATATCAATTTTCAATCCCTTAATGAAGTGTATTAAAAAAAAAAAGAATACATCACAAATTGTAGCTTGAAAAGCTCTACAATCTGTGTAAACGACAAAAAAGAAATTTCTTGTTCGGCAGCGTCAAAAAGACATAATCGAAAAATCATAAATTTTTCCTCACTCTGAAAACACTATAAAATGAAAGTATCTCAATAGTATATCACTACTCTGATATTGGTTTTCAAAAATCTCGTTCCTTTTAATGATAAAAACTTTAGAAATCTCAGATATTCTCGTGTTTTCTTGAGAAAATATCAAACAATTGCGATTAATTAAGGTAATTATAATTTGTTGAAAAATACTCTTTAAATATTCTACCTTAATTAATCGTAATTGTCTGATATTTTCTCAAGAAAACACGAGATCTTTAAAAATCAATATCAGAGTTGAGGAAAAATTTATGATTTTGCGATCATATCCTTTCGACACTGCATCTTGCGATGTATTTTGTTTTTTTTTAATACACCTTATTAAAAGATTGAAAATTAATACACAAAATGCGACCATCCAATCCGTTATGTATTATATTGGAAATCGCATGATAGACTACAACAAAGCATAAAATTGAAATTTTGCGATTATAGCAGTATAATTAGTTATTAGATGAACAAAATTCGCTTGAAATAGAATAGTTCAATGTATTTAAATCTGAACTATTTGATGGTTAATGATCCTTGCAAATGAAAAATTGTTCTGACTTCATTGTTGTGTAATGTACGGATGTAAGATTTTGCGTCAATGTTTGTTTGATTTTCATTTTGCTTGAGATTAAAAGAAATAAGACGAAATTATTTTATCCGATTCAATTTTTCGTGTTGATTTCAAATCTACTATTATAATTAAAATCAAGAGTGTTTTAATACAGCAGAGTACTTTGTCCTGCTCTGCTCTAGTGAAGTTTTCTGTTATAGAAAAAAAAAAAGCTTCACTGTTTTAATAGCAAATCTAAACATCAATCAGTTTCATTTTTTTTTTTTTATCAAAAAACATTTGTTTGAATTTTGCATTTGACTGAAAGACTATTCTGGGAATAATCAAATATATCTTAATCGTAAATAATCATCAATGTTGGATTCATTACGAAATTTTGTATTCTTAAATTTCACAACATTGAAATCAGAACAATCTTTCGTCTTCAAATACTATTAATTATTGAATTTATAATTTTTATACTTTATAACTTGTTGATTTTATTTGTTGTTGTTGTTGTTGTATATTTTCTTTTGATTGATTATCATCTTTATTTATAATTGTTGTTCCAGATGGATCACCACGTTTTAAAATAGCAACTGGTTTAAATTCTTGTTTAGGTGTTGATTGTTGTTGTTGATAATTATGACGTTGTTGTCCATTATTATCATTATTTTTAGTATTATATTTTTGTCTGGCTGTAAAGCCATTTTGTCTTTGTTGATATTGTTGATTCATCCGCATGACCACGTAAGATCAATTGAAAGCATTTTTTTTTCCAACAAATCTTTCAAAAAAAGAAAATAAAATAAAAAATACACACATACACTCAGTCAAACAAGATTGTGTAAGTATATATGATGAAGGAAAAAAAAACACACACACACACACACACAATAGACAGAAAGACAGGTATATAACCTAGATATAATGATTATTTTAATGAGATTTATAACCAATAAAAAAATATATATTTCTTTATTTTAATAATGAATAAAATTCTTTTTTTGTTCAAGAAAATTTACAAAGAAAAAGTTTTCGATAGATGTCGTTAGATTAGATTTGTTTTTATTTGACAGACAACATGTATTTATGATTCATCAAGTTTATATATATATATTTTTTTTTTTTTGTTCTCTATTATGTATCGAAATAAAATACATATATATATATATTTTTTTTAATTTGAAATATAATCTTATCATTTTTTATGTATGGATAAGAGTACGGATTTTACCTAAGGAACTCTAAATATTTCTATTTTATATCAATGATATGATAACTATCATATAGAGGTCTATATGATAGTTTTTCGATTCTTTTCCAGATCGACGACACCCTATACACACTAATTGACAGGACATATCAAGCCACGCCGATGTGGAGTATTAAAGAGTGTTAATGTCACTAATTTGTAGAAGGACGTCCTCACCCAAGCGACCTTCGGTTGAGTGCGAATTCGAAATTTTTCTCATGACTTGACCCGAAGTTCGAAAATTTTGCGATCAATGGATTCGAGTCCGACGGGCTCTCGGTTTAAATGAAATCAATCATAGAAATCTATTGTGATTTAATTATGTTTTTTTTTTTTTATTTCTCTAGATAAAATGTCTTCAGATCTTGAACTTGATCAATTCAATGATAATAATATAGGAATTGATGATATTGATATAAATTCAAATATACAAAATCATAATCAAAATCAAGCTGAAAAACGTGCACATCATAATGCACTTGAAAGAAAAAGACGTGATCATATAAAAGGTAGTTTTAATGATTTACGTGATGTTATTCCATTATTGAAAGGTGAAAAGGTATTTGAAATAATGAATAAATAAAAACAAAAAATATTTTGAATTTTTTTGAAGGCATCTCGTGCTCATATTCTTAAATCTGCTACTGAATATATTCAATCATTAAAAACAAAAACTCAACAACATCAAAAAATAATTGAAGATCTTAAACGACAAAATGCAATACTTGAATTTCAAAGTACAAAAAGAAGAATTTTGTTTGTTTAAAAAAAAAAATTTTTTTTCTTATATTTTTTTAGCACGTCTTGTTGAACGAGTGAAAGAAACAAGTTTATATGCTCGAAATCATGAAAAAACTATTAAAACTGAACCTGATATTCAAACAACACGTAATTTATTAAATTAACTCTTTTTTTTTTTTTGTTATTCTCGTTTTGTTTTTAAAGATTTCTTTGTTTTATTGTGCCATGTATAAAAGTGTTTTGGTTTTCATTTTTTTTTTTTGAAAATTATTTTCTAGATGAATATTAATTTTAAAGAAGAACTTAAAACAACATTAACAAATTGTGAAGATCCATTTCGTGCTATAAAAGATATACAAGATGAAAATGGTATTGCATTAACACAAATAAGACCAGCTTTACCATTACTTGATTTACTTGAAGTTAAACGATTAGATTTTCATCTTGCTGTTCTTGATGATATGAAAGATAGATTAATAAAACGTATACAAGAATTAGCACAACATGATGATAAAGAACAATTAGAAACTTTATTAGAAAAAAGTTTTGCAGTTATTAATTTAACACATGTTACACCAATTGTTATGGAAATTGTTAAACATATGCCAAAAATACCGGATAAGTATGTTATTTATTTACAACGAGAGATTCTTCTTACAAAGGAATATTCCCAAGTGTTACATCGCGCTTTTGAGTCGATAGCATGAGCATTATATAGGTTATAATGATCTATGAATATCTTGAAAAAAGTTCGTGTTGCTAGTTTAATGGTGCCGAGATATTACAATTGTACGGTATTTTTAAGCAGAAAGCCGTACTCCCCCACAGGAACATCAGAAAAACTGAATTTCGAATTTTTACTTGAAACTTCGCATATAGATAGATCTCGATGAGAATAGTTTATTGTGAAAGTTTTAGATCTTTTGATTGTTTCTATCCTAAGATATGGCTATGATAAAATCGCTCACATATATGAGCAGATTTGATGCTCATATTTCAGGATAGAACAGAATTAAAAGATCTGAAATCTTCACAATAAACTATTCCTGTTAAGACCTATCTCTGTGCAAAGTTTTAAATCGAAATTTGAAAATTCATTTTTCTGAGGGGGACTACGGCATTTATTTTTAAGCAATACCGTAAAAATGCCATATCTCAGCACCAATAAGCTAGCAGCACGAACTTATTTCAGGGTATTCATAGATCATTAGGACCTATATAATGCTTATATTTTCGATCCAAAAGCGACGTAACACTTGGGAATGTTCCCTCGTTAGTTTATTGATGATGTTTTTTAAATGAATATCGTGATAACAGAAAAATTAATTATCGAATTTCCACTTGATCTTGCTATTACCTATCAAAAACTATTAGTGCAAGATTAAAATTCAGAAATATTATAAGGAGCTACTATTGATATACGATCGATGATTGTCTCTGGCGAGCTTCGGGATGCAGTCAGAAATTTTCCAACGGGAGCAGTGCACACCATAGGAAAATATTGTTTATCCAAACCCTCCTCCAGATGTTTTTGGCTAAGGAATGCACAAGCATCCCTTGTGACCTGGACTCGCGTCCGGGTTCGGTTACACATTTTTGCGGACCCGCTGCTTCCCAAATGAGAAATACAGTAACGAGATATAACAGTATGTTGAGCTATTTTTCTGAGAGTACTGAATAAATAGCTAAAATCTTGATATTTTACTTGTTCATGTATACAAAAGATGCCAGGTGTTGATGAAAAAAACCTCAGGTTTGGACCTGCAACTCTCTAATCACGGTCTGTGGAGGAAGGAGTTAGAAGTTGTATGTAAATTTCTACCCTATAGACTTCAACACTCTTTTTAGATCACATTTCAAAATGCTGTTACGTATTTGACATAATTTGTTTTTTGATTAGCGAGAAAGTTCGTTCAAATGCTGTTCGACGCAGCTTATCATACTGAGTTTCTTTTTTTGACTGAAGTCTCGAGCGGTTTTATCATCGTGTAATGTTGTTATTCATATAGATATGTGAAATATATAATTGAACATGAACAAATCTATTCTCGTGCACCAATTGAATTAAAACGTTTAATATGGACAGATAATCATACATTATTTCAAAAAGAACTTCAACCAATTATATCACAATATTTAACAAATGTTGAAGAACAATTATTACAATGTGATCATAATTATTTTCTTCAATTACCTAAACAACGTCGACAAACATCACCAACAATACAATCACTTGTTCATATGATTGGAACAAATATTAAATTATATGATATTGTACGAACAAGTTTACAAAAATTATTTCAACGTACTAAAATTGTTCATTATTCATCATTACGTTTATTATTATTAATGGCATTTCATGATTTAGAAAATAATATTGTTTCAAAATCAGATTCTATACATATATTTGTTTGGACACTTGATGCAGCATTAAAAGAAAGAAAATTAGATTTAAAAAAACAACGAGAAATTGAACAATTTTTAGATGCACATGCACGTGATACAGATATTATTAATAAACATATACCATTTGTACTTGCTGATCCAAATATTGTTTCAATATTAGCTAAATCATGTATTTTATTACTACATAAACAGGTTAGATTTGATCAAATTAATCATCTATGATTAACATAGATTTATTTAAGAAATTCATAAGCTTTTAACTAAAGAATAGAATATATGCAGATATATAGAAACAGATTTCATCGATCTAATATATTATCGAGTTCTACTGTACATCAGTTATGTGTTAATATGAATTGCCACGCCGAAGGTAGCATCACCTATCGACATGTCAACAGTACATTGTAGAACTTGATAATACGTACATCATTAAATAGATGAAGTGTTTCTCTATAAGCGTAAATACATTCTGATTCTGTAGCCAAAAACTTATACTCACCTTTGGTAGAGTATATGACTCGTACTCATAATTCAAAAAATTTTTATTCAAAATGCAGAAATCGTTTCTCTTACGATTGATTATCTTTAGAATACAACTAAAGACTTCTAGAGATTTTTCACTTTACATATTTTGTATTAGTATAAAACATAGTTTTCAAGTAGAGGAGAAGGAGGAGGAGGAACATCCCCCAAGTGTTCGACTTTCGAAGAACGGACATTTTGTCTGTTGTAAGGAGGGTCGGTTCACGGTGGATTTCGCTCTTCCCATCCGGTCAGCATTCCAGAGATGAAAGAATTTTATGCCGAGTTTTTAGCCCTTTTCATCAGAGATGGGTACAATACAATAACTATTAAGTCTAATATTATAAATACAAAAAACTAGAAACATTTAGACTTATTATTTTAATGACACATTCATCATACAGGCCAAACAATGCGACATATAAACAGACTGTATTCGATCAGAATAGTTGACGCAATTATGCGGCCGTGTCATAGTGAAATCATGGCACATCATACGGCTAAAATACGAACAGTAAACGGCTGTAAAGTAGTCATTTTTTCATCGCTCGCTGATGATAAACGGTATCCCGATTTTTTGATCAACGTAAGCACAAGAAATAAATATACAAAAAAAAACAATAAGAACTTGTGAAGTTTTATTATTCATTATGTTAATGTATAATGGATGTCTACTTCTCACTTATGAACATTGAGAAAATTAAGTTTAAGTAAAAATTAAATTGTTTTAAATTTTCGATTGATTTGAACTTAATAATTTTATTATTTTTCTATAAAACGATTAAATTTCATAGTTAAATTTTAGCAAAAAGTTAATTTCTTTTATTTTAAGCAAAGACGCTATAATTTTTAGAGGACGTAAGTTTTTAATCATCGACTTAGCTAAGACGTTTAATCAAAGTCAAAGCGAGATTTTAAAGAAATTTTATTGTAATTCAATTTTTATTGCGTGTGTAAGGTGAGTAGATAGGGTTGCCGTTCCTGAAGAGAAGCTACTCATCAATATTCATATTTCAAATCCGTGTTTTTTTGAATGTCATTTCCCGTATTTTTATTTTTGTATATAAATGCTTTGCACCTCAATTGGTTTATCTTTATAATAATAATTATGTCTAGCGAACTCTATAGATTGCAGTAAAAAGAACAGTAGTTTAGTGCACTTCAGAGATGTTCATCGGGGCTGAAAATCTGTCGCTGCCATGATGATTTTTTTAAAAAACTTACTGCTATTGCGGCAACAACAGCACCGCCATGAATATTTCTGGTGCGCTCTACAAATTACAGTTCATTAAAAGTAAAACTGAAGGTATAAGTTTTATTAAAATTGTTATGAGTAAATTTTTTTTTACAAATTTAAAAAAATCGAAAATTTCAAATTTTCAATTAAGTTTTTAAGAATTTAAACAACGAAAATTAAGATTGTATTCTATTTGAATAATTTAAATTGAAAAAAGAAAACAAACGAAATCGAATTTCACAGTGTTTTGAATTTCGAGTTTATATTCGCAAATGAGAAGACATGATAATGGATATCCATATGTTCAATTGCGATCGCATTGTGATCCGTAATTGTGAATAATTGCGACGCAGTTGCGCGTCACGGCGATGAAAGAATTGCCGTGACGCGTAACTGCGTCACAGTTTTTCGTAATTACGAACTACAGTGCGATCGTAGTTGCGTGTATTTATGGTAAAAAATATTGCAGTTGCTAAAAATGATGACAAGGTAGCGTTTTCACTTTATTAATATTTTTATTAGGAATTACAAAAATTTTTAAAATACAAAACATAAAAAAATTAGAAAAATAAAATAAAATTGCTAATTAAAAAGATTTATAAGAAAGAAAAAATTTCAAAAAAAATACAAATCTAGAAAATAAAACAGTATAAAAGTATACATCTCAAGCATACGAGCTCATTTCTTTCTTTTTCTATTACCTAGACATTTCATTTAGTCTCTCAAGTTATCAAGGTAAGCATTATGAGAACTTTAATAAAGTAGTTAAAGTAGAGATTTTTTCACAAAAGAAGAGCTTTTTTATAAAGTTTGATCGAAGGTTTTCAGGGCCGAGGAATCCGAATCTGAAATCGGTTTTTCGAAATTTTTTTGGTGAAAAAGTGATTTTTTAGCAAAAAAGATTTATGAAACAAGGTGATTTACAAAAAAATTTTTGTGATGACATCGAACTTAAAATTCCAAAAAACCGATTTCAGATTTGGATCTCTCGATCGTGAAAACTTTCGATCAAACATTATAAAAAAGCTCTTCCTTTGTGAAAAAATCTCTACTTTAACTACTTTATTAAAGTTCGCATAATGCTTACCTTGATAACTTGAGAGACTAAATGAAGTATCTTAGTAATAGGAAAAGAAAGAAATGAGCTTGTATGCTTGAGATGTATCCTTTTATACTCTGTTTAGCCGTTATTATTGGTGTTTAAAAATCATCGAATTGAAATTTTAAGATATTTATTTATCATTGGCTATTTTTTCAGCAACTGTAAGAACAGCGCATACTTTAGCAGGCACTGCGATGCAGTTGTTAAAAAAGTGGTGACATGGGTAGGACCGGACAAGACATAGATGGAATCGGTACCGGTTTAGACCGATCTAAATTGTCCACTTTCCCGATCTATGATTGTATCCATATAACTAACAATAAGTGAAACCTAGCCTAATCTTGCTGATCATGCAACAATTAGTTTAGAGAACACTCTCAATGAACCTATTGTTGTCAATAGTGAAGCATTATGCGGCAAACTACTAATTTAACTCAAAATAGTCTACTATGGTGCAAGATTTCATTTTAAGACTCGGTCTATTGCCTGTAGACCGGTGAAACTGGTATACTCGTACTAGTACCGGTCTGAAAAAAACTAGACCAGTTTCATCTATGGGACAAGACAGGATAGCAGGACCATTCTGTTCTGTGCCTAGCTTTGCTTCTCATTCTTAAAAAATATCGATGATTTTTGGTTAAAAAATACATTTTAATTCCAAATGAACTGCATTGACAAGTTTCTTTTTTTCACAAATATTGAAAATTAGAGATTTAAAATACAACGTAATAAATTCACTTTAGGTTGATGACGAAATTCCTTTACCACGTTCGAATAAAGAATTACAATTTCTTCTTAAATTACTTAATATGGGTTTATATGCATGGGATGTCCTTGATGGTTCAATGTCATATCATGATCCAATTGATTCAAAATTATTAACACATTATTTACCATTTCTTATACGTTTAATAGTTGAAAATCGTTTAAATACAGATACATCATCATCATCAATATCAAAAACATTATTACCTCAAATAGAATTTGTTCAATATATGATAAATAATCGTTTAGCATGTCAATTATTTCTTCGTTTTATTATTGAAACATATCATCAAAAACAATTTTGGTTAGCAACACAATTAATACCATATTTAAATGAACTTGTTGAATATGGTTCAGCTGATAAATTATTTTTACATCAATTTGTTTATTTTATTCGACAATCAGTTGAACAAATACATTATATTGGTATATTATTAGATAAATTTTTTGTTTTACAAGCTCAAGGACATGAATTTATATTATATTATGGTTTAATATTACTTAAACATATTTTACATAAATCAAATGGTACAAATTTAGTTAGTAAATATTTATATCAATCACTTAAACCAACACGAGATCATTCAACATTTATACATGATAAATATCATCAATTAATTCGTGATTATGATGAATGTTTACGACAAATTCAAACACGTGAACAAACACAACAACAAGTATCAACAGATAAACAAAATTCATTTTCAATTTTTCATTAAATATATATATTATTATTTACAAAAAAATAACAACAAAACAAAGCAAAAAAAAAAAAATGAATTCATGTAAATTTCTTGTTTCTATGTTGTTGTTTTTTTTTTTGTATGATGAAAAAAAGAAATATAAAGAGTGAATGTAGCTCTTTCTCTCTCTCCCGTCTTTTTTTTTCTTTTTGCGTCAAGGTTTACCTAATAGAAAATAGTAATGACATAAGCTCTCTGTGAGTATGGTAGGCGCAACAATCGAATAAGAGAGAAAAAAAATTGAGTCGTGCGAAGTAAAAATAAATGTAAAAAAAAAAAAAAAGAACTTTGTTTTGATTCGTATTCGTCAAAGACTATACAAAAAAGCATGACACTAGTAACATAGTTTACTTATTTCATATATAAAATTTAATTGTGTTAATTAAATTCTAATTACTATTATATATCGAATGTTGACTATTAACTATTTGTCATATGAAATGATTCATTGACATCGTACTCATATCAATGATTCATTGACAAATAAAACAAATAGAAACTTTGTACGTCTTCGGCATATTACTATTGTCACGATTATTACATGTCGTTTTTCTTTTTTGTTTTTTTGATGTCTACACCGGAACAAGATACATCCCATCACAAATTTAGCAAAACTCGACGTTTACCACCTCCACCACCAGCAATATATAGAAAAACTCGATCACATTCACTTAGTGCTGATGGAGAACAATCGCATGAGTATGATTTTATATTCGATTTTTGTTTTTTTGTTTTATTTAAATAAATTAGATCATCAAATGATGAAATAATACCTTCTGAACAACTTGATTTTTCTGAAATTCGAAAGAAATTCGAAAATCCAACAACTCCTGAAATATCTCAGCCACATACTTATAAAAAAAGACCATCCGTTCCAATAGCAAAAATTACTCAAACAAATATATCACCTCCATTATCTCCTTCGTCGATATCATCAAATACAAGTAAGATTATTTTCAAAAATAAAATTTTTATTTTTTTTCATGAAAGTTATAACAACACATTTCAAACAATCAAATGAAATAACTACTGCTCAAATAACATCTGTCAGACAAACTATATCTTCTAAAACAAAATCATCAACACCAACTCCATTAACAGATGGTTCAAATAGTACAATAATAAAAAAAATTTTACGTTCTTCATTAAATAGTTTTGTTAAAAATGGACTACATTCACCTATTGAAGAACAAGATAATCCATTATCAAACGATCCAAAATCACCTGAGTCTTCATTACAATCGGATAATGAGAATAATGAACAAGCAAAATCAGTTCGAAAAGTATGAATAATCAAATGACATCTTTAATATTAAAACTCGGACAAAGAAAAAAAAGAAACATAGATTAGTTGATTAAGTATTTACTCTCAAGGACACTACTCCAATACAGTTATGAAAATTAGATACGAGCAAGATGATCTTCGAGACTAACATTTTTTCCTTGTGAATGATAATAATTTATGCAGAGGTCGATTAGAATTAAGAATGTAGACTGTCGATTTATTAACCATCGACTCAGTGTAGTTATTAGTGCACACTAGCGCCAATGGAAAGATCGAAACACATTAATAAAAAAAAAACCAGGCATATTTTGATAGATTTAGTGCTTCGATGTATTGAAATCCTTGATTCTGATTTCGATTCGAAATCATCCATTGCTATTGTCTAGATGAAAAGGTCATAACAGAAATTGCAAATTTATTAAGAAGTTACATAGAATGCTTTTTAATTATCTATTCATTCTAATAAAGTTGTTAGTATTAAGATTGTATTATTTATGAGTTTATATCGAAAATAAAATATCATTTTTCAAACTTACGATGAAACTCCTTTTGCAAAAATCTGGAGCCTTTAGGAAAAAAAAGAAACTTTCATAGCTCATTAAAATCTCAATAGGAACTCCGTTTTTTTTTTTATTAGAACGTTATGCAGTGTCTGTATTGCAAACAGAAGGGAGTATTTCATGAGATTCTCTCGTATTAATCAAACAATTATGAAAAAAAAAATTTAATTTTTAATTTATTAATAAATGTGGAAACCTCGGATTTAAATCCGAGAGTTATGTGTACTTCAAAAAGTGAATGAGACAAATCGGCCATCCTAGAATGTGCGGATATAAAAATTAGCCTGCCAAATCCTTTCTATAAACACTTGAATTCTATTGGCTACTGCTCAACCAATAGGATTTCAGGGTGAATACAGCTTAGATTTGGACTCTTCGCCTTGAGTTATCCTAAGAAAGGCATTTTTCCTATAACTTGATTTCTATTGGACAGTGCTCAACAAATGGGGCTTCGAGTCAAGTGAATTATAGATTCGAGTTCTCCATCCTAGAAAACCTCGAAGTATCATCTCTGTGATCGGAAGATAGAGCTCTATTTGTGGACCGATTAGAGCGCAGACAAAAACAGAACCGATTTTGGTTTATTTATCTTTGCAATAGGTGAGCTAGCCTTCTTGTTTCTTTATGTTTTATATACCATTGTGTAGCTCTTAAAATTCTCTATCGAATGGTATATAATAGTTGGGGTTTCATTTGACTACGATAGGGAAAGTGTTTTACGAAAGTGGGAATAGGTCGATTTTCCTATACAAAGCCATAGGGAAAAATGACTATTTTTGCAATAACTCGGGAATGGCTCGGCCAATCCTTCTCATCTTCGAACTCGACCGAGACATTGTTAAGACTAAACTGTGTAGGAAATTTCATCGTGATTGGACTCTTCTTTCAAACGTTATCGAATAAACGGACGGACGGCCGGACACACTGACCGATTTTAGTAGTGTACTCACTTTTTGAGTACACAAAAACTCTACACAAAATTCTAGAACTATCTCAATTCGATGTTTTATTAATTGAAATAGTTAATTTTAATGAATAAATTAAATATGAATCAACAGAAAGTACAGAGTTTACGATTACACAAAATTAGATCAAATAACATTCAAAGTCTATATTATTCTGATTCGACGAAATTTTATATTTATTTTGAAATCAATATTAATCTCTTCATAGTATTAATCATAATTTATTCTAGAAATAAAAAAAAAGTAGTTAACAATTAGTATTTTATCTAGATTTTCTCTTCGGGAAGGGTGAACATCTATTTTTTTGAAGTACATACAATAATTACAAACTCTATGTAAGATGCCATCTTTTCCATACTTAATAATTTCATTTTTAATAATTTAAATTTTTCTTCAGATTTCTCAACAAATTGAAAAGACTTCTAAGAATCTTCTATTCATAGATTCGTGATTTTTTCGATGGATACAAAAATCCTCATGTTTATCAAGTAATAAGAACAAATCTTGCTTCTCCATCAACACGTCAATCAGATCCATCTAATTTAACATCAAATTCACGTCAACTTCCACCACGTCCACCACCACGTCCAGAAAATTATCTTAAATCACAAATATCTGATTGGAATTCCATTCCATCACTTGATATAATTGATAATATAACCGGTGATTCTAGTCTTTCATCAAATCTAAATTTAAGTCAATGTAATTCATCCGATGTATCATTTACTGATGAAGAAGAAGATTACGAAGCTGAACGAGTTTGTTGTTTTTTTTTTTTTGATATTTTTTTGATTGTATGTTTGTTTTCTTTTTTTTAGCAAAGTAAATTACGTCGATGTCTTGAAGAAGTTCATACTACTGAAAAAACTTATGTGAATATTCTCTATGTACTTTCCGTTAAACTTTCTGCTGAAATAAAAAATACATGTGATAAAGATGATAATCTTATATTAATATTTAATAATACATATAAACCATTACTTGGTACTATACAACAAATATATCAATTACATTATACAATGATTTTACCTGAAATTGAAGAATATATTATTGGTCAACGTACAGGTAATATGTGGTCAATATTTGAAAAAAATTTTAAAGTTATTGAAGTATTATATAAAAATTATTATGTTACATATTATGATACTCAAGGAAAATTAGATGATTTATGTAAAAATTATCCATTAATTAATGATGCTATGCTTAAATGTCAAGCTCATCTTGGAAATTTATATCCAATTACTCAACTTAATTGTCCAAATCAACGTTTACTTCGGTAATATATATATATATATATTCAATATGAGATTTACTTTTACGAATTGCCATATTTTCAAAAACCAATGATTAAAAAAGTATTTCTAAGTAGTAGCAAAATAGTTGATAGAAAATCTTTTGATTAAGAGTAAAAGTCAATTTCAGAAAAATATCTATTTATACATATACCACAGCGTCCTGACACAATAGGGACATCCTTTTTTAAACGATTCTATTGTTAAGATGCTGCGATCTGTGTTTATGCACAAAAAAGATAGTATTGACGAAACATCAAAGCGAGACAGATATATGTAGGATACATCAAATTGAGAAAATCTAAATTTCGATATAAACTTCATTCAACTAATTAGAACTTGAAGAATTAAGAAAAGAAAATATTTTTATTTTTAGTTATATTCTTTGTATGAAAACTTATATGAAACATCTTGATCAAAATTCTACTGAATATAAATATATACGTTCTATACATGATGAATTTGATCGTATAGCTGGACGTTGTGAAGAAGAATTAGTTATATCAGCAGCACAATTAAATGAATTAAAAGAACGTCTTGATAATAAATTTGAATGTATTAAAGAACATCGTAAACTTTTATGGCATGGTCCAATTAAAAAAGTTTCACCACGTCGACATAATGATATTGCACAACGTTATATGATTTTATTTTCTGATTGTCTACTTGTATGTAATGAAGATTCAGGACGTAAACTTGATATAAAACGTGAATTATCAATGAGAGGTATAACTATTGATATTATACCAAATGTACGAACAACAATTGTATCAAATAATGATCAACAAAATATTTCAATTATATATTATCCATTTCGTGTTAATGCTGTAGAAAAATCATATGAATTTTTAGTTGATAAAGAATCTGATCGAGAACTTTGGGTAAAAAAAATTCGACAAGCAAGTGAAGATTATAATAGACGAAATTCAATGATTGAAAGTAAGAATATAGTCTCGAGCTACAAAAGTTCTTTGTAGCATGTACTATACATCTACTTAGGTCATTCCAAAAGTAGTGATGGAGGTATATCAATTCCTTATAGAAACCTCGGCGAAACCTTTTTTTCTATACAGTCTTCAAGAGAAAAGAAAGGTCTATTTTTCTATACTATTTGATCATACTTTAACTAATGTCATGATAATAAATTATTTTCGTTAACATGTTTGCTCGTTGTAAGCTATACATTGCAGTTTTCAATTCCTTATTAGTTGTATTAACAATCAAAATATGCCATAAGATGCCGCGTGAAAAGCTCTACAATTTCCATAAGACTACTTATTTTCTATTTGCACATTTTGTTCTTAAAATAGACTAAATTTCGATCATGGAAAAAGATAATGTTTTTGATACACGACTAATTCATTTCGTGTTATCTGATCATTATATCACCTGATATGCTTTATCAAAAGAACAACAAAATACATCAGAAGATGCAGTATGAAAAGCTCTACAATCTACATCATAAAGTTTATTGTAATTGTTTTCAAAAAAAACAAAAGGAAAATTCTACGCGATCAGTTTTTACAATGGTCAAAGTTCGATCACTCAAAATTTTGTCCATTTTGAAAACAAAAAGTGCAACTAAAAAATAAATGGTCTTATGGAAATTGTAGAGCTTTTCACGCTGCATCTTATGGCATATTTTGATTGTTAATACAACTAGTAAGGAATTGAAAACTGCGATGTATAACTTACAACGAGCAAACATATTAACGAAAAAAATTTATTATCATGACATTAGTTAAAGTATGATCAAATAGGATAGAAAAATAGATATCCGCCTTCCTGGAGTTTTAAATCATCTCTCCGGAAAGGTTAAAATACTAATTCTGTATTTACTAGTTTTTGCTCTCATGGCTCAATTGAAAAGCTAAATAAATATGATTAAAAAAGACTACATCCGATCGTATATATTTTAACAAAAATAATTTATATGCCTGCGCTTTCTTTTCGATGCGATCTATCATGGAATTGATCTTCTGTTGAAAATTATTTTTATTAAAATCTATGCGATTCGATATAGTTTTTTTTTTTATCATATTTATTATGAGAATGAAAATTAGGAAATATAAGTTCATTTTTGTTTAAAAAAACAACTTTTCTTATTTCATGCCTCAGATGAGATAAGATATTTGATTTTATCTCTTTTTCACAAAAGAAAAACACATGTTCTAAGGTTATCTATTACAGATAGAGTATATTTTGTTTTTGCTAAATTACAATAAAATATATTTTCAATAAAAACTAAAAATTCATTTGAAGAAAGAAAAAAAAACATAATTATTAACTATACATACATCTAATGTAATTAGTTTCTAGGGTCTTTTTCTAGTGAGAGAAAGTAATCTAAATGAAATATTCATAATCAACTCATTGTGCTCTATCGAACCAAAAATAAAATTCACTCAAATTTTCCATTCTCCGTTCTTTACATATATACAGCCTGTCTATAACAGTACCCACTCACCCATTTTTGACTTTTGGATTGTCATAGAAACTTACACTATTCATTCACTTGTAATTATGCAAAATTTCAAGTGAAAATTCGATAATCAACTCTGAGGAGAAAAGCCTAATGAAATTTGTTTTTTTTTTTGGAAGTTTATTCTTGAAAAGAACTATCACTAAAACATTACGATAACACACACAGCAATGTTTTTTTAAACTCACTAAAAAAACAAAACGCAAAACACGATTTATCTTATATTTCAGTGCGTCAATCAATTAATCAATCTGATGAACAACAACTTGGTACACGTGCACCTGCATGGATTAATGATCTTGATGTAACACGTTGTCAAAATTGTAATAATCGTTTTCGTACAACAATTATTTTATCACGACGACATCATTGTCGTTGCTGTGGTCGATGTGTATGTGGTTCATGTTCAACAAAAAAATTAGTTCTTGAATATTGTAAACATGAAGGTGAAGTACGTGTTTGTGATACATGTTATACACATTTTACTGGTACAGAATTAAGTAAAAATACAAGTATATGGCCAAAAACAACACGTGATATAGATCGTACAATACTTTTTGGTGATTTTCGTACAGTTAATTCAGGTACAAATATTTGGATTGCTTTACAAGAAGATTATCATTTACATATATATGGTGCAAAACTTGATCAAGCTGAAGAATATTCTATAAATCTTTGTGATTTAATTGAATTACAACTTGAATCTGATACACGAACATTTACATTACGTGAAACAACTAAAACACATATATTTGCTATTGATTTAAATCATCAAATAAGATATGAAAAAAATAATTTAATTGATGAAAAATTAAAAAATTTTGATAATAAATTAACATTTTATACAAATTTATGGCTTGAAGCAATGCAATTAGCTCGTTCAACAACACTTCCTGAATGGTATATAAGAAAACGTGATTCGGCTGATAGTGGTGTAAGCATTGTTGGTTAAAGTTATTATTATTATTTTTTTTCTCTTAATATGACAATATGCAGTTTTGTTTCTAAGATGTGTTTTCTTTTCCTTTTTTTTCTCTTTTATATAAACGTAATTTATTCTTCTATATCAAAAAAAAAAAAAATAAGAAAAAAAAACAATCTGTTTAAAACTGTGTTGTAATCTAAAAAATATTAATGACAGAATAAAAGTCTATAAAATTATTTAAAGCCCGCCTTGAAGAAATCGCTGAAATTCAGCTTTATCTAATGTTCCATCACGGTTGGTATCTGCAGAAACAAAAGTAGCAGCAGCTACATCAATTCCAGAACCACCAGAAAAATCTCCTTCAGCACCAAAACCTGTTAATGATGAATAATATTGAGATCCATAACCACCACTAACAGCATCACTAGCAACTTTTAAACCATATGTACCAGCTTCAGCACCACCAATTACTTCAAGTCCTTCAAGACCAGTAGGTTCATCTTCTTCTCCTGCTGCTGCTGCTGAAGCACTATGACTGAATGATGCACCTGAAACATCTAAACCACCATCAACACCATAAGTCGATGCACCGAATTGTGCAGGTGCTACAGCGAGTCCTGGAGGTGACTAAATGAAAATTAATTTTTTTTTTTTTTTAGTTATTTTATTAGATTTGTTTTTGGTCAATCTTATATTGACTTACAATATCTTCAATAACACCAGCAGCACGAGCTTGTTGAACAAGTGTTGTTCCATCTAAAAGTAATGCACCATAACGAGTAACATAAGCATGTGGATTTTCTTGTACAACACCAAGTCGATGAAATTGTCGTACAACACGTGCTTGAACAGGATCATAAATAATAATAATATTACGTGGTCTTGCATATGCTTTAGCAGCAGCAGCACGTTGAACAATAACACGACGTTTACCTTGAGGTCCATAGGGAATCCATCGTTCAATGATAATATCACCTTATCAAAAAAAAACAAACAAACAATAGTAATTAAATAAAATTTAAAATTTAAATAGTAAAAAAATTTTACGTGGTTTTGGTGGTAGAGGTGGAAGACGTTCAACAATGACCGATCGTGGTGGAACAGGTAAAGCAGCCAAACGACGAATAACTATATCAATATATGATTAATTGTATAATTATTCAAAACTTTTTTCTTTTTATTTATTTTACTTGTTTGACTAGCAATAGGTACAGGTGGTACTGGAGGACGTTCACGTAAAACAAGTGGAGGTGGTGGAGGAAGAGGTGGTGCACGTTGACGTACAACAAGTGGTGGCGGTGGTGGTGGTTGAGGTGGACGAACTTCTTTAATAATAAGTGGCTATAATAAGATTAAAAAAAAACAAAAACAAAATACAATGAATTTAACTAAATCAAAAATAAAACAAAACAATTATTTACGCCTGGTGGTGGAACAGGTGGTGGTTGAAGAAATCGAACAAGTATATTTTGTTTATAAGTTACTGCACCACCAGCTGCTGGTCGTCGAATTACTTGTGGATTAGGATCATCATAAACACCACCAGCTGAAGCATATTGAGTTGTTTGTTGTAGACTACTTGATTCGAGAGCTGCACCACCTGCTTGAACAAATTCACCTGATGATGATGTTGATAATGAACCATCAACTCCACCAAAAGCAAAACCACCGGCAGAATCAAAAGCACTTTCTGATGCGTATCCTCCTTCGTATTCACTGCTTCCTGCAAATTCAGCTAAACCACCAGCACCACTACTGAAAGCAAGACCGGCTGATGCATCAAGTCCACGAGCTGCTGAATGATATGAAGATACATCATATGCTGAAGGACCTAAACCTCTTGCAATATTATGACTGTTGGCAGCCCAAGTACGAAATTCATGTGGATCAATTCTACAAATATTGGAAGATTTATCTTTGTCTTTTTCTTTTGTTTTTTTTTTTTTCTAAATTATTATCATTACATACGTTCCATCATTGTTTGCATCCACTTGAGCAAATATTGCTTTAGCTGCATCAAACCTAGCCATTCCTTAATTGCAAATCGTATAATCGATATAATAATGAGTGTTACTCATATTATGATAAAAAAAAAACCAGTTGTTTATATACACATCATCATATATCAATATACTTTCATGTTTAGTCAACCGTGATCGACATTGAACAATCATACCTGTAGACATAACAAGTATTATGTATATTATATCAGAATGATTTGGTATCCTTGATATTATCTTTTTGCTCAATCAGTCAATAGCATTAACAAAATGACTTGTCGTTTTCATCTAATGTCAAAATTAAGAATCTAGCCTTGAAATTATTATATATTGTCTATTTTGTATAAGTGAAAAGTCCTTCATAATATCAAATGAGAAAGCAAATTAATACATTGAATAGCACGTTGTTTTTATATTGTAATGTATCATTGAGTGTGTAAGTATTTAAAAAAAAAGACTGACGCGTCTGTTTCTCATTTGATAATTTCAGTTGTTTGATGCCAAGCAAATAAACAAGAGAAGCTCATATTTCATTTGAAGAAACAAAAAAAAAAAAAAAACGAAAGAATCATAAAAATATAGTTTACAAGAGAGAGAGAGCGGAAGCAAATGTCATAGATACGGTACTTTTAACATGTTTCTTAACGTCAGTCAAGACGTTTACGCTCATCTTTTAATGTCCTTTTTTTTTTCTTCTTTTTTTTCTATACTCTTATTCCTTATCAAAAAAAAAAAAAAACTCTTGTGATACACTGCGAAGAATTCTCTTTCTTTATTCGTCAGTTTTTTTTTTCTTCTCTTTTCTTGTTGTCTTTTGATAACTGTGGATGGTCGTGATAGATTACCTTATTGAAATAAATTTTATATAACAGGTAAAGTAAGAAAAGAAAAAAAAAAAGCGACCAAATATTTATTTCTGAATATATTTTTAGTAGATCGGTTGTTTTTTCTTTTTGTTGTATCGTTAAATAATGTCATTGCATTCAACACAAGGATCATCAAATAATTTACGTAATGATGAAAATAATTCATCAGAAATACCTATTGAAAATAATTTATCAAAAATACCTATTGAAAATAATTCATCAACAACAACTATTGAACGTAATGAAGAAAATAAATCACTAGTAATAGCCATTGAACGTAATGAAGATAATAAGTCACCAGTAACAGCAATTGAACGTAGTGAAGAAAATAAGTCACCAGTAATACCCATTGAAAATGAACATGAAAGTAATTCATCAGAAGCATCAATTCAAAATCAAGAGGAAAAACAATTAAATACAGAAACAAAGAGTACAAATAGTCGAATAAGTTCACCAAAAATTACTCGATCACAATCGCATTCACCAAAACCTACCGAACGAAGTCAATCACCTAAAACGATGAATATAATTATAAATGAAAGGCCACCTTCACCAATTACTCGTCATCGAGTAATCAGAAAAGAAAAACTAATTTCAACAAATCAGCAACGTACTCGATCAAATTCACCAGGTAAAAAATTTTCATATCTTGCACCTGATCGTCTTAATTTACGTCATTGGAAACAACAACGTCGTCAATTAGCTAAACAAGAAGAAGATGATCGAATTTATCATGAAAATCGACAAAAATTAGAACGTTTAGCTCGAATAGCTAAAGAACCAAGTTCATATCCATCAATACATATTGAACAAGAACGTTTACGAGAACGACATACTATTGATTATCGTCGAAAAATTTTAAAAAATCACATACCTATATTACGAGAAAATTTATATATTGTTCATCGTCTTGCTAATGTTAAAGGTGTTTATGATATTGACAAAATGAATAATGATTATACTCGTCATACATCAATTCTTAAACAAGATGCTGCTAATAGAAAAAAAGCACGAGAAACAGCAGCACAAAGACCATTTATTTTACCAAAAATTAACGTTAAATAATAATAACAAAAAAAAAAGACATGTGAAAATCTTACTCTAATTACTTTAATAAAAATGATATAATCAAAAAATGTTTTTTTTTTTTTGTTTGTCTTTTGAATTTCAAAGATTGATGATTAATCTATTTCATTCGAACTCATTAACACATAAAATTTATTAGTTCTCATACGACAAAAAAAGAAAAAAAAATAAAGTTCTTTCGTCCGGATATCATTAATGTCTTATTCATTTTAACGGTGACAAAATAATAAATGACATGATCTAATTTTAGTCTATATATTATTGAAAATAATCATTTATGCAAAGAAGTTTTTTATTTTTATTTTCGATAGATAAACTAAATATCGATTAAATAAATAAGTTAAGTTGACAAGGAATGTCTGTCCGGGTGTTAATAGTTCACAGTAACAATTTCGATTCTGTTAAATTATAGAGCATAATTTTCTCTTCAATTAAAGATCGTTCGAAGGTTTCCATAATGAATTTTTTCGTTTCAAATATTCTAGAATATCATTTTTATTTTAGATAACAACATAATTGATACATCATAAGAACCAACGGTAGTGCCTGCGACTTTCGTTTCTAGCTATAAACAATTGCAGAGAGTATTTTCTACTCAAATTCGAATTAATCGATAAGAAAACAGTTTCAGAATGTATATATATTATTAATAAATTTTTTGTTTTTAGCATCATCTATAATAAAAATGAACATCTTCTACAGAATATTTGAAACTTCTAAGATAGATAGATCTCAATCAATAGGCTCAAAATTTCCAAATCTTTCCTTTTAGAAAATATCTCTAAAACATTATTTGGAGTATCTACTTTTTCTTTTTAATCTTCTTCTCTATTCGAATAAAAAGATCAAAATACAGAATGTTGTACCTTCAAAAATTAACAGCTGTAATATTTTTTAAAAACGAGAAAGAAATAGGCACTCCAAACAAAAATAAGTTTCAGCTCAATCGAAGAAACAAGGACAATTCTATACTTTTTATTTGTATAAATAACAACCTCTCAACACCTTTATAAATTATCATAAGATGAATTTTGCATTACCATTCATTGTTTAATCGAAATTATAATATGAAGAAACATATAACAATCATATAATTATTACAATATATTTCGGTACAAAAACATTAATTATTCCTTTCTTGACTCTTTCAACTTTGGGAGTATGTGCCTCATGATAAGTACTCAACACGTAAGTTCGGAATTTCCTATTATGATGATAGATTACATTTCATTGGATATAATTTTCTTATCAACAATCAATGATCATCGTCATCCATTAATATTATCTATAGTGATGATATGTACTTAGATAAAAATTTTGATTTTTTTTTTAATATCATTTACTAAATTAAATTATTTGATTATCCATTACATACATATTTATTGTTTGTTATAACAAAAAAATGTAAGATTTCTCTATATTAGTGTTGTTTTTTTGTTCTTTATATGTTATCAAAGTATAAGAAACACAGAAAATATCATGACATATTTATATATATTTTTCTTTTGTCCTTGAGAATAATGTTTTATTAATGTAGTTGAAGAATTTCTTTTCTAATCTATTTTTTGAGCCACAGCTTGACAATGTTGAGATATTGATGACTAAATATATTTCTTTTACTTTCTCTATTCAACCTACGATAATGTGATTATAATAATAAGCATACAAAACTAATAGCAACAGTCAGAGATATGCCTTTTCTTTTTGATAGTCTTGTTCATGGTATATATATACACAAGAGATGACAAAGCTAGTTTGAGTATAAATAAACATATCAAGCACATGAGTTAGACATACAGTAGAAGAAATCAAACGGTTGTTATTATTGTCAGAATATACGTAACTGCTAAAGAAATAGATGATGCTATTAGACCATGGATTTTATTATACTTTTAATTTATTCCAGATGTCTCGTTCTATTTTCCTAATGACAAATGAAATACCAACAACTATTGATTGTAGTTTTCAGCATGGTTTAATGACGACTAACCGATCGAATGAAACTTTACCTATCGTTATTCAATCATCAACAATAAAACCTACAAATACATCAATAACACGAAATAATCCAAAATTAAAACGAAATTTAAGAGATAAACGTCGAGCAACTGGAATTCTTCCAGATGAAGCTCTAATAGTGGGAACATCAAATGAGGTGAATTTTTGTTTTTCAATGAAAAAATATATTTTGTCTATATATGGTCATAAACAATTCTAGGATACTCTCGATGAAGATGAAGAAAAAGTATTTACACATATTACGGAATCCAATGAATCGTTTGATTATAATCAAACAGTATGAGAAAAACTATTTGTTTATATATTTTCAATACAATATATATATGTAATCTTTCCAGATGCCTTCATCTAATTGTTCTACACCAATGTTTACAGTTAGTCGAATTCAGTAAGTAAATAAATAGAAAACTTTGAAAAATATTATTCATATTTTTAATTTGATAGACCATCATTCGAAAATTTATCGATTTCTGAAAAAACAGGTAAATGAATTCTTAATAAATATAAAAAAAACAATTTAATTAAAATTTCTATAGATTCTTATATAAGGACATCATCACCATCATTAAAGAATAATTCTGATTTAGTAACAAAAAACTTTCGCCCTGAAAAATTTATTGTACATCGAGTAGAACAAGTATTCTTGTCTTTTTTTTTTTGTTTTTTATTATTCTTATCAATTTATTACTTTTTTTTTCTTATTAGCAAACATCAGATGATGATTCAGTAAAATTAAAATCTCGACAATTTGAAGAACGTATTCTTACACTTGAATCACGTCTATATGATAAAGATATTATTATACATGACTTACAACGTAAACTTGATAAAATGACACGAGTAAATACTCTTTTTTTTCTTCTCTTATTAAAAATGAATTTGACAAATTCTTCTTTTTTTTTTCTTTCTAAAAGGAGTTAACCGATGCAAAAGAACAAATTTATATATTACATCAAGAGAAATTAACATTGATCAAAGCATTTTCAGCATTACAAGATAATAAATCTTTATCTGAAGATGTCTCAATACATTCGAAATTCAAATAAAATTTATCTTTTTCTGTACAAATCTAAATATTTTACATATTAAAATGAATATTATTCTATGCATGATAAAATATTAATATTGTTCGTTTATACAAAAAAAAAAAAAGAAATCATCAAAATCATTCATGCAATACTTTAAAAAACAAATTTAAAAGATTATTTTTTTTTCGAAATCCGATTGAGTTAAGAATTTCTATAAAGAATCATTTTTAAGAGAAACAATTAAATCTAATTGTACAAAACAAAAATTTGATCTTTATGTTATCAGCTCTGTTGTATTACATATGATGCAATCATTATGTCACCAAAATTCATTTGTTCTTTACAAATGCGGTTTTATATGTTGATTTAATCTCATATTTTAACATATGAAACATTATATTTCATTTATTTTTGTCTCTTTACTTTTAAAATAAAAAAGTAAAATGAAAGAATTTAATCAAACTCTTTTATATGTTCGAAAGAAGGGTGTGGGTGTGAACTATATTAACTTAGACCGGACTGAATTGGTTGGTATATCGGTTCAATCGATCGGCCGATAAACGCTGGTCCATTGATAGGCCAGCTGACCTAAAACCCGTACCACCACCAGTTATATCTTCATAGTCAGCAAACTGCTTAAATGGTAGGCGCTTTCAAAGTAAAAGACGATTGCCTTCATTCATTTTTTATGTAATTTGACTAGTATAAGCTCGACAGTCATTTTTAATAGTCCCATAAAAAGATACAATATACTAGTAGTCGACCGGTCGATCGCCAGTATTGGTTCCATCAATGGAAAAATCTACATATAAATATACTTAATGAAAAAAAATTTATTAAATCAAATAAATATATTATTTCGATTTACTGAAGAAAATTATTTGAAACTTCACAAATGAAAAATCGAAGAAAATATTCAATGACTTTTAAATTAATTAATAATAATGATGATGAGAAAAGAATAAAATCTGATATAAAAATTCTTCAAAATAAAATTGTAGACGCCTTTGATTTGAAACTTGCGTGTGGGGTGTGAATGTGAACGTTCGTTTGCGTAAGAATAAACTAAAGAATCACACTCACATCACCACCACTTCTACACCCACACCCTCATAACATTGAGTTTCACTAAAGAACTGCAAAATTAAAATTTTGTAAAAAAAAAATATGAAATTCGCGAAGACCGACGCCCACACTTTCCATCAGGACGTTATTTGTGTTTTTGTTTACAGACAATTTGTAGTTCTAACAGCCAATATATTTGAACCAAATAAAATAGCATTATGAGCTGTTGATACGTATGAACGTTTTTCCTTTAATTTCCCATCTTTACTAATATGTAAAAGACGTGGAGTCTTATGATCGATTACAAACCATTCATTATATTTGAGTAAACAAACACGATATACCCATTGCCTACCACTGAACATTGAATCAAATGGGAGTGACCAGAATTTTTTGAATGTTGATGAAGATCGAAGTTCTATGCAATTTGATGTATTGTATTTATGTTTTATCATTAAAGCAAGTGTTCCATTATTACAAGCAATGTTATGAATAAGTTCGTCGTAGATACAAATTTGAGGAGGTTTCCATTGTTTAATAAAATAAAACAACGATAAAAGATTAAATTGAAAAATTTCAGAACCGTAATCATTCGTGGTTAGAAATAGAGATGCATCTCAGCATGTATGAGATAACTACTGTTTCTTTTCTATTGCTTGAATGCATTCAATTGATGTTAGATTTTCGTTAATTTGAAAAACTCCACTTTTTTTTGTTATGATAATAAAACTATTTAATATCGATGAGCAATACATATCAGAAATGCGATTATATTTCCATGGAGTTTGTTTTAAAAGAGTCAAACATAAATTTCGATATTTATCTAATAGTAAAAATTGATTGTTGTTAGCCAATGCAGGACAATCATCATAAGAACAATCGATTGATCGGTAAGGAGATGAAAGAGTTGATAGATCAATTTTATTCGATGTCGATTCTTTAATATAAACTAAATTTTGATTAATAATTAAAGAATAAACATCAACTAAAATGCCATTCTCTTCAAATTAATTAACATCACATTTGATATCATTCATAGTTGTTTTCAATGAAAAAATATCGTCATGTATAGCTTCTTGTTCTTGAATAAGTTCGTTTGTTTTTAATTTTAATTGATAAATTTTTCTTCGTTTTTGACTAGCTTGTTGAATACAACATTGTTGAAGTTCTTAACATTTTTCTTCATAAAAATAATCAATTAGAGTATAACAATCATGACGTCATTTATCCAATTTTTGACGACATTTATCAATAATTTCATCAACAAGAGGATTTAATTGAGAATGGATTAA